ATTATTATTATTATTATTATTATTATTATTATTATTAGACGACTGGATCCCTGGGATTTGGTTTTCAGTCAGGGTAAACAGGGGAATGGCTTGTGTAGAGAGTTTGTGTACACACAAACAAGTACACAAACAGCCCTCCACATGTCGTGTGCAGGGCAGAGAGAACTTCCAGGTCAGGGCGCTTGTCTCAAAAAATAAATAAATCCAAAGTGAGCACTTGTTTTTTTATTTTTTTTTTCCATTTTCGTTTAGTGCACAAAATCAGAAATCATACGAGTGTTCGGTCAGGGTCAGTGTATCTTTTGGTCATTGGATTTCTCTTTGTGTGGGTTCTCTCAGAGTACTCCTCCCACACAACAAAAACTTTACTCTTAGGTTAAATGATAAGTCCAAACATGTCCCTAGGTGTGAGTGAGAGAGTGAATGGTTGTCTGTCTCGTTTGTGAACCAGTTGTAAGGGAGACTAAGGTCTCTCAACACTTCTCAAAACTTAAACTAATGAGGAATCACGAGTTCTTTCTGTCTGGGGAGAGGAAATACCTCTCCGTGTAGATGTGAGAAACACATACACATGAAGAAATTTATAGTTATTACAGGTTAGTACTGATGTTAAAAACACAACACTATATTTTTTAGGTTTTCCTGTTTATAATGTTGACAATGTTTAATCTATTATAGAGTAGTTACATGTCCGAAGAATATAACAACACATAATCAACCGTTATAACATTAGATGAGAATTTTGTATGAATGCCTGTGATTCAGCCGTAGGTCAGTAGGGGGCGAACGCGGGCATTGAAGACCCTGTATAAATTGATCAACTTCCTGGTTTGTGAGGAGTGTGGTTTCCTGTCAGCTCCGGTGGCAATAAAACCTCACTCGGTTCCAGAATTCTGGTGTTGTATGGTTTTATTCCTTCTACAAATCATTTTATTTAACAGTGGTGGTTTTCTTATTGACTTCAGTCTTTGAATACGTAATTTCTTACACACACACACAATAATTTGCCAACTCAGCAGTTCAAGTTTTCTAAAATAAATGATATTTATTTACAGAATAAAATAAACTACTTATGTACAAACTAATGTGAATAATCAGAATTTTATGAGTTAAAACATTAACAGATATCACTTACATGTCCGTAATGATAAACATAAAATATGACAACTCAGAAAGAACCTTAGATTTAGATCTTGATAAATCAGATGTTTACAGGCACGTTAAACTTATGGCAAGGTTTTAAGATTAAGAACAGTAGAGAAAAGGAGGATTAGTTTTAAGATTTAAGAGTTATCAATTATCTTATCAAAGTGTGAGGCCAGAACGAGCACCCTGCGTCTTCACCACCGGGTCGGCCGGACCGCCGGACACTTTACAAAACTTTCGCTTTACCCGTTGGTGTTTTCGACCATCAGGTCAGCTTGAGGGAAGAGTTCACTCAAAAGATCTGCTTTTGTCCAGTGGAGAGAGACAAGATTCGTTCAGGTCTTCTTTCAAAAATAAAAGCTTCTCATCAGAAGTTTCAAAATAATGGAGCTTCAAAGCTGTTGCTGAATCAAGACTGAAGGTGTCTCTAGACAAAAAGAAATGCTCGTTGGCTCAGGAGACAAATCTGTTTGTCAAAGGCTGAACTTTCCTGGAAAAGGAAAACAGCTCAGAGACGAAAACTGATGTACTTTCGTCTCTTCATTTCTCACTTTCGACTTGCAAACTGTCCAGGGTGTACCCCGCCCCTCTCACTGTGACTGCTGGATCTGGGCACCAGTGACCCTGAAAGAAAGAAGTGGATAGACCGGTAGATAATGGATGAATGGACAGATTATTCTTTTAAAAACAGGTTTTAAAAAACACAAGTAACTGTATATTGGCAAGAATTTGGCGATACGATACATATCATGACAAAGGGGTCAAGATACGATATATCCCGATATATTTCGATACTGTAAACAAGGCAATATATTGCGATTTTTTTGGCCCAAAAATTCTATTAAATAAAAACTTCTTACTGGAAAAAACAAACAAACAAACAAACAAAATACGAAAAACCAAAATTCATTGTCTCAGAAAATTCTAATATTACATAGACATACTTTTTGATACATACAGCTGTGTTCTGACGTAGCTATTGAGAGCAACAGACAGCGTTTTGTGTCACGGGGGGAGTGCCGAGCTCGCTCGAGGTGGTAGACGTATATGCGTAACGTGAAAGCTGACTACAGTTGGAAAAAAGAGCACACAAGACAATTTGTCTTAAGATACAGACATTCTGACAAATAAGTAACTGTTGGTAACCTTACTTCAGCTTAGAAGGCAGAGGGTGTCGGTCTTTTCCGCTCAGATTCAGCTATCGGAGCATGAAGCTAATGTTTACTCACAATGCTAATGCTACCCTTACTCTCTGGAGCTCAAGAGGTAGAGGAGACAAATGTCTGGCTCACTGCTGCCAACTAGTGGTCAGAGGCTGAACTACAACATAAAATGAACGGCTAGCAGGAAAGTTGACATTTTAAACCTTAATTAAAAATCGATACAGGGCTTTAGAATATCGATACAGTATCAGAAAATGAAATATCGCGACATTTCAGTGTATCAATATTTTCTTACACTACAGGTAACGAGGGGCTGTTTGATTTTTGTTTTAAAATACAGAAATTAAAATGAAAAATCAGTGTTTCCCTTTCTTAGTGTCAAAAAGGGATGAGTAAATATTCTAAATGATTTGTGTTTCATTTTCTGTTTCGGATGACAAAAAAAATTACTTTGAATCAGAAATAAAAAAAAGGCTCATTTGTTCATTTTCCACAACAGCTTGTGCCAAAATACTGTATCCCTAAAATAATCTGTTCCCCCACCAGAAGGGGCGCTCGCAATATCAAAGTCATTCAATGAACATCCCATTACAAATAAAAAGCATCAATTTTGATTTCGGCATCAAGTATATTTGCCAAGCATTTACTTGGTATCAGATCAGTATCAGT